TACTCAAGAAAACAACAATAAAATTTCAAAAAAATAAATCAAAAAACAACTATATTCTTTCTAAAAAAATAAAAATGCAATTCATAAAAATTTCAAGTGAAAAATATTTGCGTTGAAATATTTGGGTGTCTTTGTGATTTGTATCGATTGCACAACGTCAGAAAAGTAGTCATAGTTGACTTTTTTATTCCTTCTGACTTTCTTAACATTGTGGATAATCCAAATTTGCAATTTATCACAAAAATAATATTTTACAACAACAAATTAACTTGTAATGAAAAAGATGCATTAGAAACATGTGCAAAAAAATTGTCGACAAATAATGTTTAAAATAATTATAAACACTGATAAAACTAAATATAACATATTTCAAAGCAGAGTGTCGAAGTTTCAGATGAAATTCATTGTAAAAGATGTGATATATAAATACAGATATTTAAAAGCGTCGAAACTCAAATTATCAATTGAAGAAAACACATTGGAACATCTTAATTATAAAGGTATTGTATTCCAAAATATTGAGTTGATTTTGAACACCAGATTGCCGATAAAATTTACAAAAGAGAGTTTTACAAAATTAATTTCAGTGATATTGAAACATGTTAAATTGATATGAAACATGTCAAATTACCGGACATTAAAAATATTAAAATTGAGGTAACATTATACTCAAAAAGACTGATAAAAAAGAATACTTTTCCGCCCAAACTCAAAGCTTATTGATTTTTAATTTGTCACCAAAAACAAGCAAAAGTATTTTTTGACTTTTGCATTTGTTTTGAAAGTGTTAAAACCATTTTCATATTATGTGGATCACATAAATTTGACTTTCCGAATTTCAAATGGCTTGAGTCTATCAAAGTTGTGTGTTATTCAAATTTAAAATGTGAAGTGATTTTACCCAAAAAGTATTACAACACTGTTTTTACACGAAATGGCAATTGGGTTTCATTTGACTCAATTACACATATACTTTCAATTGAAAATATATATGCACCAATTTCACTTGAAAATTTTAAACATTTTACAGAAGTCACTTTGAAGGACAAAATAAATCGAGTCGATTTGAATAAATGTGCTTTATGCCGTGAATTACGAATACTTTTAACGCAAAAAGCTGAGAACAAAAGTATCATTTGCGCTCCAAAATTTGATAATAACTATTTTGAACAAAACACATTATTGGCAAGTAAATTTTATTTGTATGTTACAAACAAGAAAATAGTTGTCGCAAAAGTCTTTATTTTTTAGATGGTACAACTTGTTAAATATATGACTCTGCTAAAATTGTGTGACTTGTGATTCAACAAAATGTTTAACATATAAAAGTGGATACTACATGAAAGGTGATGTTTGTGAATCATGTTCAACAACAATGACAAATTGCGCGACTTGCACTGCTAGTAATGATTGCACCACTTGCTCGTCTGACAATCTGCAACCTGATAAAACTGGATGCAAAACTACATGCCCTGATATGTACTTTGCTAAAGACAAAGTGTGTACTTCTTGCACTGCAAATTGCAAGACTTTTACCGATGAAAACACTGTTCAGTCTGTAATGATGATTCTTTCTTGATAGATGACACCAAAAAAATGTTCCAAAACAAAGTGCCTTGCAATGTATTACAAAGTTGATAAAACATGCAAGAAGTGTATGGAAGGGTGCAACAAATGCACAAACGACAAAGATTGTACAGAATGTGTTACTCTGGAATTGTTGGAAAAGGGAACAATGAATTGTGTTGATACTCGTGCTGATGTTTTTTTAAAGTTGATACAACCAAGTGTAATGTATGCATGAAAATTGTATCATGTGCACAGGATTACAAGACATTTGTCAACTTTGACAATTATCAACTAAGACATTTGTAGAAACCCTCAAAATATTTTGTATTTATAACAATAAAATATATATTTTCTATAAATATTATTTTTATTGTATAATTAGAAAACAATGTTATTAATATTGTAAAATTGTAAAATACAAAACAAACATACGTTTGAATAAAAATAGAAATTATAAAAATATAATTTATTGGTATAATTTGTGTGCATTTTACATATTTTTTTAAATTAAATTAATTAAAATTAAATTGAAATTTATATAAAATATCTGAAATTACAATTTTATATCATTTGTGTTGATTAATTTATACAAAAATAATAAGAATAAAAGATTTTTTTCAGAAATAAAACATCTATAAAAAGAAAAATTAATCTTTTCATATTTTGTACTTCCAGCTAAACAATTATTTAATAATATATTATATATGGGGTATTGTAAGTACAATGCTAATAATTGAAAATAAATACTATCAATTTTAATAAAAGATATTTTATTTTTGATAATTATTTTGGTGTCAATGTTTGAATGCATTTTAGATTTCAAGATGTTTGAACCAAATTAATATTTCAAATTAAACTCTATTTTTACAATTATACATTTATATATTTATAATCATATTTTATATAAAATTTTGTTTATTTAATACATTTACAATTAATTTATTCAGATTTATTTCAAATGACGAAAGAACCTCTTCGCTTCTTTAAAGAACTCAATGATAACCCAAAGCGACATCCATTATTGTGTATTGAAAAAATTTGTTTCTTTCAACGTGCCAAATGGGACAAATCGAAAAATGATATTGTTTTTGAATGTGCTGAAATAACTGTAGTGTAACAGTACATGTAAAAGATAATGATTATTATATTGTTGGAAATCATACTTGTATTTTTGATCACGAACGTTTATTTTTGTCAAGATGTCGAAGAGAAGCCGCAGATATAGAATTTGTTAAAGGTCTAAGTGATACTCCACATGAAATAACAAAAAGAGTCATGACACACGATTTTTGTTCAAACATGTCAATAAAAGACCATAGATCAATTAATAAATATATAACCAGACTACAAGAAAGACTTCTTGGAAGTAACCCCCAAACAATTGAAGATATCAATTTCACGGAAGTTTTGAAAACCACATTGATACCTCAAAATGAGTCTAATCCAGATAATACTTTTTTGTTTTATGATTCTTTCACTGAAACTCAAACACTCTCCAGATTTTTTATTTTTTCTTCTTGTACACAACGGCACATCGCCTCCAAGTCAGAAGAAGTGTTTGGTGATGGAACATATCGAATTACTCCAAACACAATTACATGTTTGTATACGTTACACTCTCTTATTGATAACACATGTTATCCAATTGCATTTCTATTACTTCCAAATGATACAGAAGAAACATTTGTTCGTGCTCTTAAAGTACTAAAGCCCTTTTTAATCAATGTTAAAATTGTACACTGTGATTGTCAGATTTCAGCATTGAACGCATTTAGTAAAGTATTGGGAGCAAACATTAAATTATGCTTGTTTCATTTAAATCAAGCGGTGTTTAGAATGTTGGGCAAAAAGGGTCTTTCTAAAGAATATATAGAAAATGCCAAATTACATCTATGGGTACGGCGACTATTTGGACTACCTTTTCTACCAAAAGAAGAAATACACGATGCTTTCGAGAAATTATTCATTGAAATGTCAAC